TTGGCTCCAAAGGGAGTTTGATCTAACAAGTTATTGTTACTGCTTTCCTTTAGAAATACTTGCCTATCCTACAGCAAAGTCAGAACCTCCTGCAGCTCTCAGAAAAAGAACCTGCTTGTGGAGTCAGCAGTGGCCAGACCTGTCCCGTTTTTGACACCACTAATGCAAAATGCAAACTTCCCTTATTCTTTCATTCAAACCCAGCTGTGACAAGGCAGAAGCAGTGGAGGGATGTCATATGGGAGAGCTATATTGCTGTCTCCTTTCCCAATTTACAATCAGAGGATTTGTAAGGGTTTCCTCRTGTCTCCTGGTGCTACATTTGGAGACAACAGCTCCTCTTCCCTCCCCAGCATCAGTGAGTGCTGCTGGCTTTCTCTGCTGGGGCAGGAAGGAGCCTCAAGTGTGGAGAACAAGGGAGTTGGTGGCTTCTAAACTTCTCAAACAAAGCAACAAACAGCCCTTTTTCTCAAGCAAGTAACAAACAAAGCCAAGGAGCAGCATTAGATGAAGAGATAGAAAGTGTTTTGGGTGCTACAGGATGAGAGCCATCGAGGGAGCTGTGGGGAGTGTGGGAGGGGGCTGAGGGGAAAAGCTGAGCTCATTGCATCCCAACCAGACAACATCAGGCAGGAAACAGATGTGGAAGAAACCACAGAGGGGTACAGCAACAGCAGAATTAACTCTGCAGCAAACAGRGGAATCTCAGACACACAGAGCTGACCTGCACCACAAGAACAAGGCATCAAGCCTGAGATTTGGCTCTTTGCAGTCCTGGGAGCAGCTCCTAGTGCAACATCTAGGCATCAGCATACCAGAAAAATGAAGGAAACAATTCAGCCTTTTTCCAAGTCCTACCAAGTCTAAGCATGTGAAGCAAAGGTAGGTCTGGATCAGTAGCAGTTCCTATGCAAGAGACTGGATTATCTTTTACCATCACAGTCCAATTCCTGTAGATGGTGTTTGCATTTCTATTTKAAAAGGAGGAAGTTTTTCCTGGCTGTATACCTGAAATCCCAGTTTGAATCTCCCACAGTTAGAAGCATTGGGAATATTAAACTCCATTTTGATTTAGTCCCTCTAACAGCTTTGTCTCTTACAACAATTCTGTCATATAAGCAGAAGCAACACTGTTCTTTGTGTCTATTTTCTTAAGCAGTTCAGAATGTCCTGCCCCAGCTAAAGATGGTGCACAAACTTGTGTCTTGTCCTCTCTGCTGGCCCATCTGTCACCAGAAAATTATACTGTAGTTATTACAGGAACTGAGAGCCTCAAGTGCAGCTCCCATTGACTTCAGCAGAGGGACAATGTGTTCTCCTCTGCAAACTGAGCTGGTTTCCAAGAGGCCAAAACATGATTCTAATCCTACGAGGCTATTATCTGTAAGCCTCATTGCATTCGTACATTTCAATAAAGTTTGGCACAGGAAAATGTTTTAGTAGAGGGTATTAGCCCTCTTCCTCCTGCATGGTTGCCTCTCCATGTCCAAAGCCTGGGCACAAACACTGCTTTCTAGTGAAGCTCTTATATTCCAAAAGATCACTTGCCTTCAAATGTGCTTTCAGTGCTGGCAGTGACACAAGAGGGACCATGTTAAATTAGACAACTTTTCCTCATTGTTATTGCCAGCCATCATTCTTTTATGTGTGATGTGAGCTTGTCCTCATACACATTACTATATAAGCCAATGTTTGATAATTTTAGCAAGAAGGAAGAGAAGTTTCTTTTCCCCCAAGTTTCTAGCCCTCTTACCAGAGAAACACTKGAAAACATAATTCAGATGCACCCTGAAGTTTTGGAAAACAGAAAGCAGACAAAGAACCCAAAGCACTGATTTTATGTCGTGGTTTTTGTGGCCTGAGTCATGACTTTAAATGTTTGTGTGCACTGATAGCAGACTGCCCCCGTAAGGAGTGTGACCAGTGTCTGTGCAGAGACTGCCAGCAGGAAAAGGCCAAGYAGGGTCAAATGTGGTAGTGACAGGAACTGACTTGAAACACAGAAAATTCAACACATCTGAGTTTATAACCAGCCAGATCTGTCCATCACCATTGACCTGTGTCAGATGTGAAGTATCAAATTATGGCTAAGGGCTTTGTATCACAGTTTTGGCTCCTGAGCTACTTCACTGTACCTGCCAAAGTCTTCCTATTTGATCATTTTAAAATACTTTGTAGTTCTGCTGCAGCTTTATTGTATTATCGTGAAGTTTCCTACCAGAGGCTTAGATACATGTAGCTGGTCAGGGAGACAGCGGGATCTTCAAGCTGTCTCTGAAGCAAACATAGCAGGTTATTAAAGAGTTAAATGAGAGGAGAGGAAATGCTGATACCTTTAGCAGAATATAATTCTCTCCACTGGAATTTGGCAAYGACACAGGGACTAAGGTCCTTGCAGAAAGCACAAGCTGCTCATCAACAACCACAAGCATGCAGGGACTCAAGTTGTGCCTCTCCTGCACAAAGCATYGCACAAGTAATGCAGCACCCCCTAACTGTAAAGGTCGTGTAAAGGACCCACAGGGAAAAATTCCAAGTTGAATTGTCTACCCTAGCCTTGGCCATCCYCTGTGCTCCCTTGGCAAGCACAGCAAAGCAGATCTGTGCCTCTTCTTGCCCGTGCAGGAGCAGTCACACACAACGACACTGCAGGATGGAGCAAAGCAAAACCTGAGCACGGAAAGCACAACCAACATGACTCATGTCCTGCCTGGCCTACAGCACCTTCTCCTCCAGTTAACCTTTATTGGGTGCATTTTAAAACCTGTTTTCAGAGAGGTCTACGACAAAATGTTTGCTGGACAGCAGCCAAAGTGCTCCCCTGCTCGTCGTCACTCCCAGAAACCATGAAGAGTTTTACAACTTCATTGCTTCACAACCTGAGCCTGCATCCCACCAATTAAACACACAGGTCTAAAGCAGAGAGACAGCTACTGCTTTACAGCCCTACCAAACTCACTGCTTGCAAGAGCACTGACTTGTCACCAGAAATAATTCTGAGCAGGACAATTCTACTCTCCCAAAATCTCTCATACCCTAAATGCTCTTCTAATTGAGTTGCAACTTTAGGATGTCTTGGTGACATCTGAACCTTCATTTTTTTCCCCAAGACATCAGTTCAACATTCTTGGTCATTCCTATTCATMCTGAGAGTCCTACTACCAACAAAATTAATACCTCTAATACATTAATTGCTTTTCCCCTGTCCTGGTGAATGGAACTGTACCAATCTAACTTACACCCTTASCAATAAACCTATTAGAAGAGAGTCTTTCATTTCTGGACCCCACTGGGCAATGGGATGTGCCACTGAACAAACAGCAGTACTGCATAAAGCAAAGGAATTTCCTATTCTTCCTCACTGCTCCTTAGCACGGAGAGGTAAGTAATTGTGAACCATGCCACAAACAAGATTTGAGAAAATGTCTTTCTTTCTTGCTCTCAAAAAACTGTTTAAAAAAAAAAGAAAGATGGGATTTTAGGTAATAGATTTTGCCCTTCTGGCCTAATTTCAACCGCAGTTACTATGTTTTTGCCTTTAAAATTCCCCTTGCTTCTTCAAGTGAATGTACTGCCTGTGCCTGCCTTCCCTGTATTGTTTAAAAGTGCTCCTGTAAACATCTGTAAATAGTTCCTCCACCACAGAGGTTCATGGTAGCACTGGRTGGAATTTGTCTGTCTGCACCTCACACTGGCAAAGGGGCATCAGCTCATTAAGTCCGTTATTTTTTGCCATTTCAATTCTGTTGCCATAAAAGCCATATAAATTAAAAGATACAGTACCTGTTACAGACAACCTACAATGCAAGGGGAAGGACTGATTTTCCTTCTTACCTAAATAAATGCAGCTTAAATAATATTTTATAATATTATAAACATATAATATTTTATAATATTATAAGACACATAAATAATATTTTATCTTAATGATACATTTGCTGCCCTTTTCACTGTGCAATGGAAAGTACTCCTGTTAGTAACCCATCCCTCTGCCAGCACAGTTCCACACCACACTTCATCCTCCATGYTCATCAGCAAATGAAAGACCTGATTGTACAGCTCTCCTCCTACAAAGCTGACATTTGCTGCTACAAGTCTTTTGATTTGCTTGAAATAACCTTGCCATTGGTAAAATTGGTTAATTGAAATTGGAACATAATGCTAAACCTGGATCATAATGCTAATATCAGGGATGGCAACAGGCATGTATTTATTTTTCCCTCTTGCTTAAGTGCAGGTCTTCCTACCAGCCAAACTCACACCCAACACACTTTAAGGAAAATCATTCTGCTCCTTCCCTCATCAAGGACTGACCACCTGAAACTCAGGGCTCTCTGATTTTATTGGAGTTACCTCTTGTCTGAGCTACTGTGTTCTCATTCAATACCTGGCAGCGTGAAATCAAGGGGAGGAGTGAAAGACAGTGGGCAGGATAGTGAATATGTTAGCTCAGATGCCTCCTRTACCACACACCCTACTCCACCCCATAACCCAGCCTCTGTCCTGTCTCCATCCAGCAGAAACTCTACTGGAGTCCAGTTCTTCCCTACAGTCCTCCCAAGTTCCAGTCTCATGGACTTAAGGTGGATTTTGAAATCCTGGAGGAGGCAATGCTGAGCACAGTTCAGATTTTCCAAAACCGACTCCCTAAAAGCCTGCTCCTCCCTTCCAGAGCCAGGCAGATGGGAGAGGGCATCACAACCGATGTCTGGCTGTTTTTGCACACAGTCAGACAGCCCGAGAGCCCCATCCCAGTCCCTGCACACACACACAGCACTACTCATGCAAGGGTCAYGCAGATGCATCACCAAAGCAAATCTTCCGATCGTTCATTCACTGTGAGTAACGGGGCAGTGACTCCGCTTCCCAGGGATAAATCAGCTCCAGGTGGTCTAACCCTCAGCTTTTGGAAAGGTCTGGTTTGCAGTCCTAGCAGTAAGAACAGGGGGGACACACGCTCGGCTTCTCAGCAACCAYAGTGAGAATAAAGAAGCATTTACCATCCTGCCCAGAGCTCTCCAGATATTCCGTCAGGTCGCAGCCGAACGCGCTSGCGGCTCCCTTCCTCTTGAGTTTCTGTTTGGCTCCCTTGTTCTTCATGAGGTTAGTCCCAAAAGAGGTTCACCCCCCTCCTGCCTTGCCCCCCTCCCCCCGGCCTCACGCTGGGCGACAAAAATCTTTGCTCTTCTCCTCAGACCACCGCCCGTGTCCCGCTCCCGGGGAGCAACATCGGGGGTCCCGTACAGCGTCCAGCCAGAGCAGCAAACATTAATCCCCACCAGATGCTGGGCTGCTCCTGTGGCAGAAGAAGGTCAGGGCGAGAGGAGGCTCCAGAWCCCGCAGCAGCAGCGATCATAGCCCGAGCCCAGAAGGGTTCTCATCACAGGCGAGTGGGTGGTGGATGGGTGCCCGCATCAGAGCTGGCAATTTTGGGGGGCAGGAGATGGTCGGGGGGATGTCTGTCCCTCAGCGCAATCCCGGGACCCTCCACAGCCACCTCCTGGGTTTCGTCAGTCGCTCTGTCGCCAATTGCAGCAGAAAGCGTCCCACTGTGGTCGTCCTCCTCTTGGCTTTCGGAGGAGACTGGAAGTTCAAACGGACTAATGAAAAGGGACCGGGGAAGACTCCGCACAAGGCTCCTCTTTGGCTCCCCCCATTCCCCTCCTCCTGCCTTCGGACAGTTGGAGGAATGAGAAACCAGCTTCCTGTCCTGACTCCCGCTCACTCGCTCTCTCCTTTCCCCCGTTTTACAAATCCTAGGATTATCCAGCTCTAAAAAATGCTGAAAGGAAGTTAGSCGAGGAGGGGGGCGGAGGACGCGTTTTGGCACTACGGTGCGGTGTGTGTGTGTGYGCGCAAGCGAGCGAGAGGCTGAGGGAAGGCGGGGAGAGGAGTTGGGGAACAGGGATGGGGATAGGGGGAGGAAAAGGGAATTTRTCCTGACAGCCGACAGATAACGGGCTGCCCGGGAGGAAATCACGGCGGGGATTTGCTGCTCCGCCAGCCCGCAGCTCAAAAAAAGGCCCGAGGAGGGTCCGGCGAGGGGCGAACACACCAGGAGCCTCTCCAGCAAATCTCTGCCTCTGTTCGCCTTCGCTGCAAAACTTCTTCCTGCCCTCAAAGGTGACTCTGTAGCTCCAGGATCTGCCTTCCTCTACAGAGGTGCAGGCTGGAGCTGCTGAAGCGCTAGAAGGGGACAGAGAGCTGGGGAATTCGAGAGAGGGGGAAGGAGGGAAACCTTCAGCTCCCTCCTCCCCGGCAAGCAGAAACAGATGCTGTCCGGGCATCTAAGTTCACATACTTTAGAGTCAGCTCCCAAAAAAAGGCTCCCCCTGRCCAACAAAGGGGTTTAGATAAGAGCTGAAATTACTCAGTACAGCAAGAAGGGAAGTGGGACAGATCTGCCTTCAGGCTGTGAGTCTCGGCTGTGTCATCGCCCCCTTCACCCCGCAAACACTTTTCTAGTCTGGTTTTTGGTACACACATATGTTGGCACATTGGAACACTTCCTTGAATTTTTTTCACTTTTTTTTTATCCCAAAAATTCAGACTTCTTTACAGGGCTGGTTCTGCCCATCAGCATATCTAGGGAAGCAAAATTAGCTCTGCCAAGGCTTCACTGACCCCTCTCWTACTCTGTGCCAAATGCAGTTGTATGGGTCTGGTGGAAAAATGAACGAACAAAAACAGCAGATTTCAGCTTTTCACCAAAAATCTGAACAAAGATAAGKAAAGTAGTTTTGATTTGGAGGAAAACTGGCAAGGAAATGGGGCAAAGGACTCCCTTAATCCACCTGCCTCCATAACCCTCGGCTCTGCACTCTCACTGGGCAGAGGATTCCCATCTTCTCCCACAGCCCTCTCGCCGCCTCGCTCACTTGAGAATGATTTTTCAGGGAAACCAAGCCTCTGTGTGTGTTCTGACCACTGCCAAAATCAATTCAGGTTCTGTCTGTTGGTATGGTGACTTTTTTTCTTTAAAAGTGTTGCATGCTACCCCTTCACACCTAAGAAAAGACACCGAGAGCCATAGTGAAGGACCTTGCACAATTATAACTTTGACTGTGCAGTTTATCACTGCAATTATCATAATTATGCCCATTTTACAGCTTGATGGCTGTCAGGTTAAGGGGAAAATTGTTTTGCAGAAGGTGTCATAGAGATGTCTAGCCTGTCACCTCCCTGCCTTCTGCTCCCMCTTACAGGCTATGGAGGAAAACTGAGCAACCAGAGCAGCGGTTGTTCTCAGGARCCCTCAGTCCTCAAGAAACACTCAAAACTTCCTTGAATTTATTCTGGGAATGTTGTGTTGATGTTGAGTCAGTGCACGGGATCCCACCCCGYGGTGTGCCGCCAAAGCCATCGCGTGCCACAGCGCATCCTGCCTTCCTGCCAAGGGCCACATTTCGCACAGCTTCACAGACAGCAGGATGCTCAGGGCAATCCTCCCACTGTCTGGGTGCCTGGCTGCCTTCTGGAGGAAGATAAAGCCCTGTCCTTGCCCCCTCGGGGAGGAGGCACATCCTCCCAGACTTGCTCTCATGTCTGAGTGCCAGCACCAGAGCAGCGCCGAGAGAACAGGTTCAGCACAGCGAGTGACAACACCATCTTCTTTAAAATCCTGAACGCCCCTGTGCTCACCCCTCCCTCCCTCCATGAGCCAAACAAGATGCCAAACCTCACTGTGCCCGTCTCCTCCTCCAGATGGAGGCCCCATCACTAAYGGGGTCTGTGTCCACCTTCTCCTGGGGACACCCTATACCACCCTCCTGCCCCATCACCATTACCCGCACTCATCTTTGATAGGGTTTCTCCACTCCCCTCTTGCAAGTTTATCCAAACAGGATGTCTTCAAACGAGGATGGCTTCATTTTAAAATAAATTCAATAAATAAAATCATCCCTCCTGCATGAATAGAGCTTCCTCTTCCCACCAGGAAGGGAGCTAAATCCCCAAGGGGCAGAGGAGAGCCCTGTGCACCATGTGCAGACCCTGAKTGTCCAGAGCAGGCTGCAGGACCCACCAGGAGGCATTGCCACCATGGTACCACAGTGGGGAAAGCAGAGAGGCTGCCRCCCCCATGACAAGAAAAATAACACTTCTAACAGGGAAGAGAAGCTAGAAACAAAACAGGGAATATTCCCACTTTATTCACAGAGGSTCTTTCAGATGCTGTAGATTTTCTGCCCAGCTCCCTGTTCCCGTGGAGGAAAGAGAGAACCGGAGAGAGGAAATGGGCATGGCAAGCGGGATGAAAGAGGAGTGTGCTGCAAGGAGAGAAAGAAGACATGAGGAGCTCCAGGAGAGCTCTTGCCAGGCAGGCTGGGCTACAGGGGTGGCTTTTCCCATGCCAGAATAAGGTTCAGCAAGAGGACAGAGGGGAGGTCGCTAGAGGATTGCCCAGGGAGCCTGTGGCCAGGAGGAGGAGGAGGAGGAGGAGGAGGAGGAGGTGGAGGAGGAGAAGGTCAGGCAAGGTAAGCAGGAGCCAAACAAGGGAGGCTTTACAAATAAAGCATTTCATATCGGAGCCTGAAATCAGTGCTGAGCCAAGGGATTTTTTCTGAGGGAAAGGGGCGATGTTCTCCAGAGAGGAAAAAATACAAAGTCTGGATTTGTGCAACCCAGGAGGCAGGGCAGGKCTCTGCTCTACTTCCAGTGAGCAGGATAAGGAGTAAGCCAGTGTCCCTCCTGGAAAAGCTTTCACAGACAAGATTAGGCAAAGCTGGGGAGGAAGAG